AACTAGGGACTGGGAACACTTTAAATACACACAGGAGGAGGGGATGACGAGACACACCTGGGATCAATGAACCATCATGGGGAACACCTGGGACAAATTAAACATGGGAAAGGAACACCTGGGGAGCAAGACACAGACAAAACATGGAACAGAGTCTGACAATAGCAGTCTTGACAACATTGTGGTCTCTTTTACATGGCTTCCTCTCTCTCTCTCTTGCTCTGATGCTGTGGTTGAAACCTCTCTGACAGCTCAGCTTCAATCTCTTCAGCCTCACTATGTGACAGGCAGGAGAAAGATTGATGTGTTGTTGTGTTCACTGTACATACAGCACTGGAGGGGTGGAAATATATTTGTTTCTCTTGCTATCTCTCTCACTACACGACGGGGGAGTTCACTGGGATACAACATGCTCTCCAGGCGGATACCACCTATAAGGTCCTTGTGAAAAGTCAGTCCTCTGGCCTTATAAAATGCATATTTTTCAATCCATTTCTCATGCTGAGGCAAGTCAACAGATGCACTCTGAATATTTATTCACCTTCCTCTGAGCACAGGAAGTATTATTCAGTCATTGTGCACAGAATCCAGCAATATTAGCTTTACTTTGCGCTGACTTGCCAATACCCAGTTTATGAGCCATTTAAATGTTCTGGTGCCCTGCATAAAATAATGTCCTGCAGTGGATATATAATTTAAGCCGATCGTCAAGGTGTTCCTTTGCATAAAGGTTCTGATATAAATCTGAGGAAAAACATCATATTCGTTTATGTAATTGAATGCATTGTGTCACGATCACCAGCTGGAGTGCCCTTGATAACCACCATACCTCTGTCACTCAGTTTTGGACTTAATTTCCCATAACCCATAATCTAGTGGTCATAAAAATGAATAACACCTTCCAAATTGCCGTGTTCCATTACAGCCACTGGTTTCACATCTGGTTCTCTCGTGTCTTGTCTTCCTGGTTCTTGATATTCTGCCTGTTTATCTGGATTACTCTGTTAGCCTCAGCCCTGAACTCTGTCATTGTTTTGGATTGCTTATTGTGTTTGACCCCACGCCTGTTTCGACTACGATTGTATATAACCCTTTAATAAACTACTTCAGTTGGATCCTCAGCCTTCGTGTCCCCGTGCAGTTTTGTGACACATTGATTCAGAACTCACGCTGGCAGATTTAATATTTACATTGATCTAGCACACAAAAATCAGAGACAACATTTTGAAATTTGGGCTTCAGAATCTAATTTAGGTTTCAGGATTTTGAACAGTTTCACTAAAATTGTTGTGCTGCTAATATAATTTGTAATAGATTTTTTTTCTTTTAGTATTTTATTATTGTTTTTATTACTAATTTATCTATCATTCATTCATTCATTTTATGACTATTAAATGTTCCAATAGTTTTCTTTTAAAATAAGTGAATAGTAAAATAAATATCAATAAATTCATATTTTTATTACATTTGAAACATGCAAAATAGAAGCATTTTTACTAATGCTCTCAAACTCTTGGTCCCCACTGTGTACATTCTTCTGTGTTGGTTTTCTCCCAGTGTTCTCCCTCCTTGTTGGCTTTTAATTAAACTGTAATTCTCTGTTATGTTTCAACCACTTTTTCTCATCCCAGTAGTACCACTCAAGGAGCTTTTAATTGCACTAACAAAAATAAGAGTGTTCTCTCATCTTCATGTAAATAGCCGAACCCCCACGGGCCACCGGCCCTTATCACAAAGATACATGTTTTTGGCTTTTTCATCTTCTGTCGCCTTCCCTTCTTATTCCCTTTGTGTTTGCCAGTGTTTATATGTGTGTATGTGTTTGTCAGACTCCTGGACAATCTCCAACACAGAATGAAGTCTGATCGGTCCTCCTGATATAAGGGTCATTCTCACCGACCTCTTAAATTATATTCCTGCCTACCTACAGTATATATTAAACCTCTGCTACACGAATGTCTCTATCCATTACACTCAGCCAAAGGGACAAATAGAGAAGGATAGAAGGGGAAAAAAATCAATAAGAAAGTAAAAAGGTTCCTGCATTTTTAAACACCAAGCCACCTTTTTAGATTTAGTGAGTTATGAGGCTTTTTACATAAAAAGAAGCTGGAAGAGTAAACAAAAAATAAATTGTATTTGGTGACACCATGCTTGCAGGGTTGACGCGAGCGGGACAGGTTGTAACCTGCTCAAGTTTACCTTTTAATCAGATGCATTTGCATTTAAATTCCACTGTTGTGTGCTCTGATTCTGTGAGCTGTTAGTGTGTGAAAGAAAGCCTGTGTGTGTGTGTGTGTGTGTGTGTGTGTGTGTGCGCACAGGCCTATAGACGTGTGTGTACGGTTAATAGAGGCTAGCGCGAGTCCTGCTTGTGTAAGTGGCAATCACTAATTCCATTATCACTTTACCTATTACTGTAGAGGCCATAGAGAAAAGCTGCCCAGTGTAATTACCAGCCCACGTTTACAGGCCATATCCTCAATTACACATTACTGCTCTCTAATCTCCCCATTCAACACACGTATGACTACATGTGTGTGCTTGTATGTATTTATAAGTCCTCCTGTATTAAAATGCAAAAAAGACAAAGTCTTGTGCAATTGTGATTTGCATTGTCTATTGCATCCTTGATATCAATGTAATCTGTACACTTTATTTGAAAAGAGATAATGTGCATTCAACCGGACATTAGAGCAAAATAATATGAGAAGATAGAGGCTGATACGAGAGGCGTTAAAGCAGCACAGCTA